GGTTCCTTGGGAGCCCAGAGTGTGGCCGCCATCCCTGGTCTGAATGATGAGCCTGGGAGTTGGGGGTGGGGGGACTGTGCAGGCATCAACTGATTGAGCTCCCAGGACTTTGGGGACAGCAGATGCTGCGAAGAAACCCCACCAAGGAGCCACCACAGCCTCCTGTGACATCGGGGCTGCAGGCGGCCCTAGAGGTGGCAGGAGTCAGTGTCCAAGCAGGGGTCTGGGGGCTCAAGAGAAGGAAGGTCCTGGAAGAGCCCAAGTCTCTCCCTCCCCTCCCTCGATCTGCCAGGGCCAGGATTGGTAAAGTCCTACCCTGCACCCCCCTCTTTGGGGGAAGAGATGGAAAGGGGACCCTATGGGACCTTACTAAGCTGCTTCTCCCCTTTAGTCCCAGAAGAGGCGACGCCAGCCCCCTTGCACCCGACCACAGAGGCCCCCAAGCCTCCTGAAGAGCCCCGCCTGGGGACCCTGGAGGTGACCGATGTGACCCCAGACTCCCTGAACCTCTCGTGGACGGTGGCCCGGGGCCCCTTTGACTCCTTTGTGATCCAGTATCAGGACGCAGACGGGCAGCCCCAGGCCTTGCTCGTGGGCAGCAACCAGCACCAGGTCCTGGTCTCGGGCCTGGAGCCCGGCACCTCCTACAGGTTCTTCCTCTACGGCCTCCGAGAAGGGACCCGCCTGGGGCCCATCTCCGTGGAGGGCACCACAGGTACTGCCCAGCCTGGGAAGGGTGAGGGGAGCCCGGAAGTGGTGGGTGTCGGTAGGGAAGGAGTCTAAGAAGGGCATCCAGGAGGGTGGAAGGGTGGGCTGCCCTTCCAATGGGAGGAGCCCCTCCTTGGGTCCCATTTGCAGATGAGGAGCTAGGGGGCAGGGCTGGGTGGCCCCTAGATTCTTCTTTTCTCCCTCTCTGCAGGGCAGGCTCCTCCCGCCCAGCCCCCAGGGGAGCCCAGACCCCGCCTGTCCCAGCTGTCAGTGACGGATGTGACCACCAGTTCCCTGCGGCTGAATTGGGAGGCCCCCACGGGGGGCTTTGACTCCTTCCTGCTCCGCTTTGGGGTTCCACCACCCAGCACCTCGGAGCTGCATCCAAGCCCTCTGCTGCAGCGGGAGCTGACGGTGCCAGGCACACGGCGCTCGGCCGTTCTCCGGGACCTGCAGCCCGGGACCCTGTACAGCCTCACGCTGTACGGGCTGCGTGGGCCCCACAAGGCCGACAGCGCCCAGGGCACCGCCCGCACCCTCAATCCAGGCAAGATCCCATGTCAGCCATACATACTCCTCCTGAAATGGGTGGTGGGACCTGGAGTGCTGATGGCATACTGGCAACACACTGGGCTTCCAACCACAAGGCTGGCAGTTCAAAACCACTAGCTGCTACAGAGGAAAACAAGGAGGCTGCTTCCATAGGAGCCACAGTCCCAGAATCCCCCAGGGGCAGCTCTCCCCTGCCCTGTAGGGTCACTGTTGGTCAGAACGGACTCAGTGGCCAGCCTGGCTGGCGCACTGGTTAAGCACTGCACTCTGAAAGCAGGTCAGCAGCCTAAAGAAAGGCTATAAGGCAGGTCCGGGGGTCTGCTCTGCACACACGGTCCCTCAGTGGGAAGTGGAACCTGGTCCCTCAGTGGGAAGTGGAAACTGGCCCCTCGGGTGGGAGTGGGGAGTGGGGGCCTTTGGAAGGATAAGCAGCACCTACGTTTCTAGCGTCTAGGTTGGTGTTCCCTTCCTGGGGGAGTTGCAAGCCTATACCTACACTTTATCCGGGAGTATGGGCTGTAGTGCAAAAATGTCTCATTGCCAGGGGTGTGCTGATTAATTTTCCCCCCCCCAGAAAAAGGGGTGCTAGATCAAACAATTCTGAGAACCTATGGGCTAGGAGGATCCCTTGGGGGGGTCGTGGGTACGTGTTGGGCTGTGAGCCACAAGCTCCGCAGTTGGAAACCGGCAGCAGCTCCGAGGGAGAAAGACTGGGCTTCCTCCAGTTACCTTCTCGGAAGCCCATGGGGTGTGTGTGTGTGTGTGTGTGTGCGCGCGCCTATGGCAGTGCGTTTGGGGTGGAGGAAAAAGGTAGGTGTGTCCGGGAGGAAAATGAGAAAGAGAACCCTGGCCTCCCCTGCTCTGTGCATTCACCATTCCCCCCCCCCCCTGCAGTGCTGGAGAGCCCCCGTGATCTCCAATTCAGTGACATTGGGGAGACCTCAGCCAAGGTCAGCTGGCTGCCCCCGCCATCCAGGGTGGATAGTTTCAAAGTCTCCTACCAGCTGGCGGACGGAGGTGACAAGCCTTTTGCCCCTCCCTTTCTCGTGACCCTGCTCTGTGCTCCCCTCGGGTGGCCAGGGCAGCCTCCGACCCACCGTGTGCTTACAGGGGAGCCCCAGAGCATACAGGTATCTGGCCGGACCCAGACCCAGACCCTGCAGGGACTGACCCCTGGCACCCGCTACGAGGTCACGGTGGTTTCCGTCCGAGGATTTGAGGAGAGTGAGCCTCTCACCGGCGTCTTGACCACAGGTGAGGGGGACGGGGACGGGGATGTGGCGGGGGTGGACCGCACAGGGGTAGGAGGCCCTGGGAGCTCCTGTGTGCAAGAGGCCCAGCGGGCATAGCTGATGCCCCGCCCCTTCTGCTAGTTCCGGACGGCCCCACCGATCTTCATGCCCTGAACTTAACCGAGACATCGGCCCTGCTGCACTGGACGCCCCCCCAGAAACCAGTGAACGAATATGAGGTCAAGGTCACCGCCCTGGGGGGTAAGCAACGATGGAGCGCTCTTTCTGGGTGGGGACAGCAGGCTGGGGAGGCAAGGCCTGGAGAGCCACCAACCGCTGACCCCTGCCTCCTCCCAGCCCCGTCTCTCCAGGGCTCTGCACCCGGCAGCGCCGAGGACTACCCCCTGCAGGACCTTAAGCTCCACACCAACTACACCGCCATCGTGCGTGGGGTGCGGGGCCCCAACTTCACCTCCCCAGCCAACATCACGTTCATCACAGGTACGGCCCCCGGGGCAGGCAGGGCAGGAGAGAGGGGTGTGAGGGGAGTAGGGTGGGCCCGTTGCCCATCTTCTCGTCCCCTCTTGCCCCCTCAGGGCTGGAGGCCCCCCAGGTCTTGGAAGCCAAGAAGGTGACCCCCCGGACGGCCCTGCTCACTTGGACTGAGCCCGGGGACCTGCCCACCGGCTACCTTCTCAGCTTCGACACCCCCGGTGGACAGACTCAGGTGACCTGCCACTGCCCTGCTCAGCCCCCGAGCCTCCAAAGCCTCCCGTCCAGGAGGTGCTGCCTCGGCCTGGGCGAGGGTGCTCTCCTGGGCGGGGGGTTCCCTCTCTGACTTGCCCTCATTGCCCACAGGAGATACCGCTCCCCGGTAGCGTCACGTCTCACCAGCTGCGAGGGCTCTTTCCCTCCACCCCATACAGCGC